AAAAATGATCCACCGCCCACCCTTAAATTAATTAAATTATACTGTAGTTCTCGGGTATAGGCTCTTTTTCTGCCCCACTTCTTTTTTACTATAGAGATTTAAGTAACATATTTCTAAATGTTGCGCCTACAAGTACGAGCAGCTTGCCCATAAACGTGTGGAGGGCTCCTCATACTTTTACTTTTATACCCAAATTAAATTAGTTCCAATTAGATGGAAATTAGGAAAACCTAGCATAGCTTTGTTGAACCTTCAACGCTAGAGGGCAAAAGCGCTATATATCACGTATAACGTAATTATTCTCAAAAATATAATAATAGCTCGACTCAAGTAATATTCACCTGAAGGAAAATTTTTAATTAACAGAAATAATTTAAAGCTAAAACATATAATAACTGAGGTAAGGATAAGGAGTGGGATTAAATGTTAGAGATAGGGTTGGTGGTTAATTAATGAGAGATTTGGATTATGTATTTCTAAATTACCATTCGTCTAATAATAATAGTAATCATATCAAATCACACTTTACAACCCGACCATCTTAGATTTTGCTGAAATTTGGTATATAAGTTAATGAAGTGTTGTAATTGACGAATCCAAAATATTAGCCCCTTAACTCTATTAGAACCGGAGATATAGGGTCTCAAAGTAGCTCAGCGAGGTCATTTTTCGAAAAAAATGATTTTTTAAAATTGGGATAACTTTAATACTAAATGTAGTATATTTATCTATCATGGCTCATTTTATAGTCCTAAGTAAACTCTTCCACATATTTTAAATGGAATTATTTTTAATTTATAAAATTTTTTTAAATTGCGGTCAACTATTTGTAATTAATTTTTTTAAATGTTAGTATAAATTTTTTTTTCCAATTTTCAAATATTTTGTAAATAGCATCAAGAACTGTTCATATAAAAATTTTCAGAGTGGTAAAAAAAGAATTAAGTAGAAAAAATCTAAATAAAAAAACCGCTAGATGGCGTTAATAATTTTAAATAGCTTAAAATTTAATTTTTGAAAATATAAGTCAATCTACCTTTTATTTATATCCTATAATATAATATTTGTTGAATAAAATCGCATTTTGGCACAAAAATAAAATTTCCGCTAGATAGCGCAAGTATCCTAAAATAGATAAAAACCTCATTTTTGTGAAATATGTCAGTAGATATTTTTATTATTTTATAATATTTATAAAATTACTTATAGTATAGAAGTTTGGTTATATTGATTTCCGTAAATTTAATTTGTTTACAGCCATTTCGGATTCTTCACGAGTTAGATTATAAGTTCATCCTGTAGTGGTCAAAAGATTGACAACAGTTAGAATATCACTTTTCGGAAGAATAAGAATATGGGTATCGGTGGATAATAAAAGGAATTAGATGGTCCATTAGGGTGTAAAAATATAACCTTTACGTCCTCAGGACTAATAATGGCTAGATATAAGCCATCCACCATTCATTATCATAAAAGCATGTAACATACCCCTTTATATCATTGGTTGATACCTCACCTATTCGATTTTGAATATTTTGTGTTGTGATTTGAATAGCACTGGAATATTTTTTCGAAATTATTTGTGATAAGCTAACAGGAGAAACTGATTGAATTTTTTGAGTTCCAGGAATGGAAAGAGCTTTTGAAAACCGATCTTTTAAAAATTCTTTCTCCTTTTGGTATTCTTCATCGGATGTATAAGGAAAATGAATATTTTCCTCAGCGAATTTGAAGAAATCGCAAGGAGATTTTATTTGATTTTCATAAGGTCGTTATAAACTGGCCCGTGCAGCCAAGCGTTTCACAGTTCCTCCTATTCCATCGCAGGCACTTTTCCCATGCGCAGTAGCAAAGAAATGCCATGCTGAGATAGCGAAGTCTACCTGATGATAACACAAGTTTATGAAATTTTTCCTGTTTTTATATTGGGCCGCAGACCCATCGGAATAATAATAAATGAGGCTCTGATAAAAAGTAATTTTTTAGAAAGTTTATTAATTTTTTTTGAAATAAATGAAATAAGCACGTATTTTGTTCCAGCGACTCGGATATGGCAACATAAATTATATGATTCAATGAATTATTAACTTTTTAATATATTACAAAGGGATGTAGGGTGACCTGGAAAGTGGCCTAATGGTAACTCTGTACTTCATCTTGAATGAAAGAATAATTTTTAGAAAAATCACAGATAACCTAATAATGATCTAGTTATAAGTTGTTTTTAAGATTCTGATGGAATCTATTTTGTTGTTCAGTAATAAAAGAATGGCGAATCAAAATAAATATTTTATCAAATAAGTAATTAAGAAATTCGTCAGCAGTTTGTGTTAAGGTCTCTAAACTAATTCTACCTACTAGTGTTGTTAAATGGCTCGTTTTGAGCCGATTTTTAAAAACGGCTAACTCAATATTTCGTCCAGAAAAATATTTCGCAAGCCTCAAGATTTTGTTCATAGAAGGAACAAAGGTCTAAGCATATATTATCGAAATCTCAAGACTTAGGCAATATTTTTCTGGCTAAAATATTGAGTTAGCCGTTTTAAAAAATCGGCTCAAAATGAGCCGTTTAACAACACTACTACCTACAATTATCCATTGCTTGAACGTTATCCTGTATATATCATGTGCAATTAATAAATTTTCTAATTTAGCCCTTAATGCTTGGTCCCTAGGACATTCGCCAAAATAACAGGCTGGCAGTGGAGGATTGCAAATCATTTTTGGAATTATGTCTTTGTAAGTCTTTATCTCAAAATCCTTATTTTTTGTTAAGGTTGCTAAATTGCTCCCTATTAGTAATAATTTAACATTTTGATGTATGCGGCAAACGCATACCGAGTGACTGCCACTTGAACCAGGCATAATACAATTTTTAGGGCGCAAGGTAGCAAACGTTGAAAATCCTATCTTTAGATCAGGGTAAGCATCCTTAAAATGTAAATAAATTTCTTATAAATTATTTAGAAGTAATCATTTTTATACAGTAATTCTTTCTTCATTTTCTATTATTGAAATGCAATCTTTTTTCCCGGGCAGTAGCCTACTATATTCATCGTTTAAATAAAATTTTTTTATAACTTCTACTGTGTTTTGATCTATTGCTTTACCCGCCTTGGGATTGGGAGTCGAAAGAATTCCTTTTTGACGAAAAATGATTTTTGAATTACGGATCATGTAAAATGTATTAAGTTCTTTGTATGCTCCAATTCAGATATACGTGGTTAATAAAAGATACTTTTGTGTTTTAGATAAGAAAGGGTAACTATTTTTCATATTTTGAATTATCTCAAATCGTTGCTATTATTTATTTCCATAGCAGGTCGAAGAATTTCGCCTATTCCCTTTGAAATTCTTGCAAGCTCTTGCTTAGGATATCTCTTTTTTTTAATTGGAGATTGTCCAATATCTAATAATGTTGAATTTAAGGATTCGAAGAGAGTTGTGGGTTATCACCATTTTCTGTTTCTATGGTGGTATTTAAAAATTCATTTGAAGGGATGTTGTATTCTTCTAAATTGGAATATCCTCCTTTTTATATTTATATAAAGTTAAGCGGCACGCAACACAGATATAATCTCCAATGTTGATATTAGAAAATTCAGACACCATGGACATATTTTACGAAGTCCCTTCTTTGATAAATGCTTTTTTATATTAGAAGGATTTTTACAAATCATGATATTCAAATTTAAATAGTATTAATTAATTTTAAAAATAGATAAAATTCTTGTAAAAATAGACAACTGGAATTGATAAATTTATTTTAAAAATAAATCGAAAAATCGATAATTAATTTAAATCATATTTATCTATTTTAGAATACTTGCGTTATATAGCGGAAATTTTATTTTTATGCCAAAATGCGATTATATTCAACAAATATTATATTATAGGATATAAATAAAAGGTAGATTGACTTATATTTTCAAAAATTAAATTTTAAGCTATTTAAAATTATTAACGCCACTTAGCGGTTTTTTTTATTTTTTTTACTTAATTCTTATTTTACCACTCTGAAAATTTTTATATGAACAGTTCTTGATACTCTTTACAAAATATCTGAAAATTGGGAAAAAAAATTTATACTAACATTTAAAAAAATTAATTACAAATTTTTGACCGCAATTTAAAAAAAATTTATAAATTAAAAATTAATTCCATTTAAAATATGTGGAAGAGTTTACTAAGGGCTATAAAATGAGCTATGATAGATCACACTACATTTAATATTAGAGTTATCCCGATTTTAAAAATCATTTTTTTCGAAAAATGACCTAGCAGAGCTACTTTGAGACCCTATATCTCCGGTTCTAGTAGAGTTAAAGGGCTAATATTTTGGATTCGTCAATTACAACACTTCATTAACTTATATATAAAATTTCAGCAAAATCTGAGATGGTCGGGTTGTAAAGTGATTGATTTGATATGGAATGACCCAATATTTAATTTTCCTATCTATCATTACATAGCTATAAATCTAAATATATTCTTTGTAAATTGGCTATAAAAATTAAGCAAATCGATCAAAAGTTTTATCTATTATATATTATTTCCACAAAAAAATCAACACCTGTGATATAAAAAATGGAACTAAAAAATGAGAAATTATCTTGAATTTGTCTTTGAATATTAGTCGATAAATATATACAAAATAATAGTTATTTAAAAAAAATTTAAACTGAGGTAATGATATTTTTAAGCCTATCATGTATTTAAAGGTTAATAATAATGTATAACCTAAGATAAGCCAAAAATTGTTAATCGTAACCTAATGTATCACAAATTTTAGTCAAGAATTTATCAATAAAAAATCAAACATTTTCTATAGTATTTTAATTTTAGGACTAAATCATCAGTAAGATGATTGTGAATTCACTGTGGGCGTTATCCTAATTCTAATTTCATCCAAAAAATATAACATACAAAATCTTAATCATAAAATAAAACATATAATTTGTGGCCAATTATTTTGATAAACAAGACAATATAATATTCATTTATTCAAAATATTTTATACAAATTACATTTACTTAATAAAAATAATTTCAATTTAAATAGCTGCAGTCAAAATCTAGAAAATTTAGATCGCCCCTTGCCAAAATTGCCACTTTTTCCTTCGAATCGATCGATTTTTTTGTAAATTACAGCCTTTTTAATTTTTTTCGAATTAGAATTGCCATATGAATCACCAGCTATTCTTTTAAGATTTTTCTTTAATTTTCCCTTCTTGGAATAACAAACACCTAAATATAATTTGCACAACTTTGTTAGATAAATAAATAATTTTTTTTAGATTAAAAAAAACAATATAATTCGGTATAGAATACATTAAAAAAAACGACCGAATCCAGCTTTAATGTTATAATGATTTTTATAATTAATTTAATTTAGTGTCGATTTTTTTAGTCTCTATAATGGATTAGCTCATTTGCTTTATACATGTATATTTGATGTAAGCAATTTACCTACAGCTATTACCGCCAAAAGGAGCGCCGATTAAGGAGCCAATATAATAGCAAATGATAGTAAATTTGCAAATTTGATAGATTTATAACAATTTAGTAATAAGATAAAAGTAATATTGTGTCATTTGTTTTAAATTTCACATCTATATTAGGACAAACAAATACATTTCCTTCAATAATTCATAAAATATGATATGTTCCTGGGAGAATTTAAAAACCGCCAATATTTGCTCATTAGCTGTTACATAAATAACTGATTTTAAATTAGCTTATTTGCTATTAAATCACGGTTTGGCTCTTAATTTGGCGTTTATTTAAGAAAATGACGGTAGGTAAAACATTTAAAGGCGTAGCAGCCCAGCCGCACATTATAGATATTTTTCTTATGTTAATAAAAATCAGTAGATCGATTGATATTGACAATAACGGATGAGATTGGGCTTTAAAAATGTGATATACAAACCTCTAATTTAATCCTTTTTCTTTCTTTTCTCTGATAAAAAACTTTAAATTACTTAAATCGACATGTGGAGGGTTGGAGAACCCAAATGATTTAGCTACAGCAACTAAATCGAGAGTTTGTACGTCAAACGCGGTTTTGAGGTTATGAGAAGCATAGGCTCGAACAAAACTTTTGTAAGCCTCCTTTGCTGAGAGATTAAGATAATAATTTTGAATTACTAAGTCTTCGAGCTTTTTAAAATATATAATTGAATTATTTACATAAAATATTGAAATAAATCGTCATTGGAATAATTAAAATTGCCTTACTTCCAGAATAAAATGAGATTATTTATGGTTGAAGTTTAATTATATTGTTAAAACTCTAGCGAATCAATGCACTAGCAAAAATAGCTCTATCAACATCATAATAATTCCATTTTGATAGTTTAAAAAAAAGAAATCAATTAAAATGGTAGTAAATAATTTAATTGCTTTATAAATCTAATCAAATTTAAAAAGAAAAGAAGCAATTTCCTGACTTGGCCTTGAACATCAGCTATTTTATTCCATGCGAATTCGTATTCGTTCATTTCCACCTTGGCTTGTTTGAGATATATCAAAAACCCTGCTTCCTCGGGCCTAAGGATCAAAATAGCATTGCCTGTCGCTTGATTAGATTTATCAGGCGATGATGAAAATCCACGAGCTGTTCGGCCGACTCTGTGGATATACTCCTGAAATATAAGATAATATAATACATATAAAAGCACTACACGAAATAATGAGAAAGTAGAAAATTAAAATATACATTAATATATCGAATATTAAAACATTATAGGAAAATGTAGATAATATAAATTTAATATGTTTTTAGGTGTCAAATTACCACAATTTATCTTTTGATATTGAGACTGGGCAATTGATTTCATACTTCCTACCTGCCCTTTATATTTCTCGGACACTTTTTTCTTTCATTTATATAGCATTTTATTTCAAAAAGTATCATATAAACTTGTATATTGTTTCAATTTTAAATTTATATGCGTATAAATTGAAAGTTTGAAAAGATACCTTACAAGATAAAATGCTATTATATATTATATTTCCGAACTTTAGGATCATCTGGTGGATCGAATTGAACTATCCAATCAACGTGGGGTATATCTAGACCTCTGGCTGCCACGTCTGTGCATAAAAGGATACCCTTAGAGCTCTGAACAAATTTGAAAAACGTTTCACTCCGTTTCATTTGCTTTTGTTTGCCCTGATAGAAAAAAAACTTAATTTTAAATTCAAATAAAAAATGGACTCCATCTAACCTATTTTTTTATTAAAATCCCATGCGCAGCAAATCAATTAATTCAAAAATGTATTGGACCGAGGACTATAATATGCAACATGATAGGACATGCGAATAATGATATAACAAATTTACCATTCCCTGAAAAATGGTAGTTCAATTCAGGTTTTGAAAAAATTATATCAAGTCCCATTCCAGATTATAAAATTTGCTACAACCCTTATAAAAAGCATAAATTATATACACTTAAATTATTAATTTATATAATTTCCTAGCTGTAAAATATTTCATTTGATTAATTATAATATTAATAAAAAAAATGGAAATAAATTCTCCAATAATTACGATTTCATAATACATTTTCTTACGTGAATGCTTGAACAAGGTAGGTCCACATAATTCAATAACTCGTGATGAAATTTGACGGACATGCAACTACTGAAAAATACCATTATTTTTTTGGTTAAATTTTTCTTGAGGAATGTGAAGAGCAAAGAGAATCGTTTGTCAGAAGGACATATAGCGTAACCCTGCATAAATTGTTCGATTTAGTATTTAGATATACACAAAAATTTTATGACTCCAAATTTAATATTTATGGTCACTTTAATAGGGTTATAAAAGTCCATTTCATTTATTGTGATATGAAAGCCATTTTAAAAATTATCAATTATCTAGGTAACATTATAAAGAACAATATTTGGTATTACATAAATAGCACATTTTGAAATTGAATGTAAAAGATGTTAGAGGAAATCCCCAAAAATGTAATTTTTTATACTCTGTTTTGACTAAAAATTCTTAGAACTCTATCATATTAATTAATAATTTTTTAAATCACATTGAATAGTTGAAAATGTCTATAAAATATGTTGCATATAGTATATTTTTTATTTTGGAGTAGCCACAATAGATTATCATCAGTGGAAGGACTGGACCAAAGACTGTTATAAAAAAAATAAAGATGTACCATTACAGATGCTGATATTATCCGATTTGCCGATATCAGTTAATATTTCAGCCCATCCGATATTTAGTAATAACATTTTGAGAAAAAAGTTTAAATCAATCTTCAATTTTGAGCAAATTTTTGACAGTACTTATCTGTCAAAATTGATTATTAATCATCTTTAAAAAAGTTAAAAATCAAAAGGTTCAAACAAGATCAGAGACATATTTAGAGATTCTGTTCAGGTTCCGGTGATAAATTTTTAAACGGTTCAGGCTCGGTAAATGATGGTTAGTACATTTTTAACGGTTCGATTTGAATCCCTGAATTTTACCTAAAAATTCCAATAATAAGATAAATATATAAAGGAATAAAATAAATATATAAATAAAATTATGAAAGAATATTCATAATTTTTTTTAAATTTCTATGATTTAATATTAGTATTTTATCACGATATTGGTCGAAAATCTATATATATAACAATATAAATGGCGGATTCGATAATAAAAAATCAATGCGTCCATAATATAAAATAACTAAACCAAAGAGATTTTTATATATGGTCCTTTGTCCAACTAAAGCAGAGGCCTGATATTAAAGGATCAGACACTGTTTTTTGAAAATTGACCTGCAACCTTCATTGGTGATCAGAAAGAGAGAAAATAATTTCAAATCAATATATTAAGAAATGAGTATCATATTGAGGAAAAATAATCATTATTATTTTGATATTAAAAACCTGTTGTAATCCATCGACAGTAGCTTGAGCCTTATTATCATCAACTCCCACATACATTGGTTCACATTTTAAGGCAAGTTTGACTAGATTTTCTGTTTTGTTGGTCATAGTGGCAGAAAATAACAGAGTTTGTCTTTGTTCTTATAAGTAATTGAAATGGGAGAAACCAGTAATGAAATGGAGTTAAATTATGAAATTCAAGTTAGAAATTTCTGTATTTTAACATATAATTTTTCCAATTGCCCTGGTTTTTAGATTTGTAGTGGTTATTAAAGTTTACATTCTAAACTTTATTAATAAGAAAATTTTTTTAACATTAACTAATCTCTAAAACACTAGTATGGTTAAAAACCCCGATTTGGGTGTATTTTTCAAAATAGCCAATTTAGCTAAAATGATTTTATGTAAGTATCTAGATTTGGCAAATAGATGTCCAAGTATTTCTGAGCAAAATTTTTAGTCCTGCATAATGATATATTGGTTCTTAATTGGGCCGTTTTTTAAAATCGACCCGAATCGGGCTTTTTAACAACAATATAAAACAGACATATAAATTAGGCATTATAAATAGTTCTGGTCATGTATTCTGGTTAGAATATTTAAAATGAGGGGTTGTATGTAGAGCCCTACAGGTTGTCAAAAACTGGGACCAGGACTAAAGGTTTCTTTTCATTGGGCCATGTTCGAGCTTGAAATTTTTTTAAAAATGCATAAAAAATTATGTTTTCTCTTCAAAATCAAACGATAATTAAAATTGCTGAAACGTTACCAGAGATGCACCAAAACCAATACTTGGTATTGACCAAGATTTTAAATTTAAACCTAGCATTATATTTTATTAAAGGAGCTAATAGCTTTTAGTCAGCTATTTTTTTAAAGGTATAAAAATCTGATAAACCTTTTATTGATGTCAGAAAATTAATTTTAAATTAAAAATAAATTAGTTATTTAAATAAATAAGTCAATAATTTATTAAGGGGAAACAACAAAAGTATGTAGAGTAGAAAATTTTAAATGAGTATTTCGAAATGATTTTGAACTTCAATTTTCATATTAATTTTTTTTCTTCATTTAGTATTTTTATAATTTTTTCAAGAATTAAGTGAGTAATTATTTAAAAAAATATAGCAAATAATGTATAAAAATGTATAGATGGTGCTATATATGAAAATTATTATTTAAATTTAAAATCATTTCAAGGCATCAAAATTAATATACGATTAATAATTATGCATGGTGGGGAAATTTTTTCCAATATATGATATTATTTGTAGATCAATTATAATGCCTTAAAATGATTTTTAATGATATTAAAAGTTGTTTATCGCATTGAAATATGTTATTATATAGCCCCATCTATACTTTTTTATACATTGTTCATGATATTTTAATTTTTAAATAATTACCAGCCTTGTTTGTTGAAGAAATTATTAGAAATATAGTAAAAGTAGAAAAAAATTGAAATAATTGAAACTCATAATATATTCAAAATATTAATTTTCAATTTTCAACTGGACATAAGAGACCAATATTTTTTTAAAAAAATTAATTTTGACTCATAATTATTAGTGATTTAGTTATTAATATTAAATTCAATATTCAAACTACTCTAGCTTTTAATTTAAAACAATTTATTTACAAAGGAAAAGGTTAAACAAGCCAATTTTGTACCTTTATTAGCCTTACCCTAGGCACTATAATTGCTAATGAGCTAAGATTTCGTTTCAAATATTAATAGAACATATACAGTGTGCCTGCAAATTTTTATTAAAATTGAAATGGTAGCTGAAAATCTAGATTTTCTTGGCCATTTGACAAGGAATGACCCACATATAATCTAACCATCCTCGTAACTATAAAACATCCACCCACCCCCACCCCCACATAAAAAAATAGGCCCCAAGTGAATGTTTGCTCCCCCCTGTTATATTTTATATATTTTAATAGGTTATAATATTCAAAGTTATTTGAATAATACAATTGTCATACAATAATATAACGTATTTATAAAAGGTCAATTAAATTGAATACTTATAGAAATTAAATTGAATAATTATAGAATAGTATTATATATATTTGACCATATATTTTATGAAGTTTCTTAAAGATATAAAATTGGCGACGAAATAAAAAAAACGCGGTCTACGGTCAAGTTAAATATTAAATAGAATTAATTCTATATTTAATAATATTTCAAAAATTACATTAAACGAATTTCGTAAAGAGGAAACTTCTTAAGATGATTATTAAATATATTTTGAATGTAAAGAATATTCCTTAAACAGACGCTACTTTGAAAAAATTATTCATAGCATATGGAGGAATAAATATAATAACATAAAAAAATTATTATTTCCAAGGAAAATTGATGATGAGTATGAGCGCAAAACAACTTTTTAAAGACGAAAGAACTTTCTTGGTATTAAGAATTGATTTTATTAGATTAAGTCGCGGACCAACAGAATCAGTAATGAGTTATATAAAAAATATAAAGGACTAGCCCGTAGATGTGAATTTGAAGATAATATAGAACAATTCGTGATCAATTAATCGCTGCAAAATAGTGTCGCAACTAGATAAAGAACTAAGTATAAGATATCCAGGCATTAGTGGTATTCGAATTAATCTTTTAGATAATTTCCGCAGTCAGTAGTCGGTTTAATTCTATTTCAATTGCTTTGCAATGTGGAAATGTACCCTAATGGAAAAAATCATGTACATCTGAATATTTTAAATGTATTCTCACTATAAAATCACGTATATGTGCTATCTTATCATCTAAAATTGCTTGATGTTGGTAACCAGTTCTCGAATTCTAGAATATACTGCTACGCAACATTTATCATTAGCGAGATTCGATATTTTTGATTGGTCTAACAGAACATCCTTAACCTAATTCCGCATTTGTTTTGTCATAACTTGCTTACTTAGAAATAAATATTAAAATGGTTTATAAAATCAAAGAAACGACTAAACATAACGATAATAATAAACGATTAAATCAAAATGATAATAATAATCGTAAATATAATGATAATCGGCAGTATCAAAATGATAATAAAACATACGTAAAAAGAAAACCAGTTCAAGGTTATAATAACTACCACATGAATAAAAATACAGGGTTTCCCATTAAAAAAAGGAAAAGTCCCAATCAAAATAGGAAAAGTTTCAATCATAAAAGGAAAAGGTCCGATCAAAAAAGGAGGAAAATGTTCAATCAAAAATGGTAAAGGTCCAAACAAAAAAGGAAAAGTGTCAATCAAAAAGGAAAATTCCCAAAAAGAAAGGAAAAAGTCCAATCAAAAAAATGAAAAGTGTCAAACAAAAAAGGAAAAGGTTCAATCAAAAAAGGAAAAGGTCCAATCAAAAAAGGAAAAGTGTCAATCAAAAAAAGGCAAATTCCCATTCAAAAAAAGAAAATCGTAATTTTTTGTCAATTTTTTTTTATTTTTGTTATTCCTTCTTAATTTATATCTAAATTTTTGCGATTTTTTATGTTTTTTTTCTTACTGATCTTTTCTCAATTTATTTCTAACTTTTTGCGATTTTTTATTTTTCTTACTATATCTTCTCTGAATTTATTTTTCTTCTCATTTTTGATAATTCTTTTTGATTTTTTCATTGTAACTTTACATACATTTTTAACCTGTTCAATCTCTTTAAGACATTTTTAATCTTCATTTTTTTGAGCATTTCTCAATTTTTTTTTCTTCTCATTTTTGATAATTTTAAAAATGATTATATTTTATTAATTTACATATCGTTTGGTATTACAGTTCAAACTTATTTAATTTTAAAAAGGTATATTATCACCAAACGATTAATTTAATTTAGCAATTGTAATTATATTGTCTGCCAAAAACATTAAATATAATTTAAAAAAATAATTATCAAAATGAGAAGAAAAAATTGAGAAATGCTCAAAAAAATAAAGATTAAAAATGACTTAAAGAGATTGAAAAGGTTAGAAATGTAATGTAAAAGATTACAATGAAAAAATCATAAAAAGAATATTGTATGTAATGATGAAAAAAAACGTAAAGAATTGTTAAAAAATGGACCATTTTTAAAAATACAAAAGAATTATCAAAAATGAGAAGAAAAATAAATTGAGAGAAGATATAGTAAGAAAAATAAAAGTAAAGAAAATCGCAAAAAGTTAGAAATAAATTGAGAAGATCAGTAAGAAAAAAACGTAAAGAAATCGCAAAAATTTAGAAATAAATTAGAAATAAATTAAAAAGGAATAACAAAAAATTTAAAAAAATTACAATTTTCCTTTTTTGATTGGACCTTTTCCTTTTTTGTTTGACACTTTTTCTTTTTTGATCAGACTTTTTCCTTTCTTTTTGGGAATTTTCCTTTTTTGATTGACACTTTTTCTTTTTTGTTTGGACTTTTTCCTTTTTTGATTGAACCTTTTCCTTTTTTGACCGGACCTTTTCCTTTTATGATTAAAACTTTTCCTTTTTTGATTGGAAAACCCTGTAATACAGATATTCAAAATTGTGAAGCATACAGAAAAACGTGCAACAAATGTAAGAATTAAACCACTTTGCCGCGTGTTGTACTGAAGGAAAAGCTTAAGGTAGAAATTACAATAGTAACAACGAAGATTCAGATTTCTCAATAAAAAAAGTCTACAAATAGGACAGCACCCAACAATTATGGTATTAATAAGCAACCACGAAATTAAAATGGAATATGATACAACTTCAGCAAGTAACCATCATTAATGCAACAATATGGAATAAAATTGGGAGATCAAAACTGAGAATGGTTAGAGCTCTAACTAAATGTAGAAACAATACAAAAAAATTATGGGAGAAGCTTATGTAAAAGTTCAATTAAATGATAAAATAAAATGGCTTCCATTAGTTATAAAAACTAATGATGCAGCGCTATTTGGATTTCCATGGACTATAGAATTTGATCTATCGTTACCAATAAAGGTAAAAGTTAATATGGTAAACAATAAATATAGTAATAATAATAATGGAAACGTGAATAATGAATAACTATATAAAGAATTTGCTACTGTGTTAGATAACAAATTAGGATTAATAAAAAATGTAGAACAATAAAACTAAAATTAGATACAAAACCAATAGCTCTACCAGCAAGAAAAGTACCATTTCCTTTAAAAGTAGAAATTGAAAATGAACTGAAACGAAAATAACATAAAGAAATTAGATTCATCAACAAGAGTAACCTGGAGTACTCCAATGGTAGTGGTAAGTAAAATTCAGGTCAACTATGATTATGTGGCGATTTCAAATTAACATTGAATAAATTTTTACTAAAAGATCATCACATTCTATTAACGCTTGAAGAATTAATCGCAAAGATCGCTAATGGAAATAAGTATACAACGTTGGATCTAAAAGACGCATATCTACAAATGAGCATTGACGAAGAATCGCAAGAATTATTAACTATGGTAACACCAAATGGATACTACAGCTATTTACGATTACCTTTTGGTATAACTACAGCACCAATAATATATCAGCGATATATGGAAGATTTACTGGCTGACTGTAAAGATATAGCAGCTTATTTAGAAAAAATTACAAAATGAGGGATTAAAAGTCAAAATAAGCAAAATAAATTTTATGCAAGAAAAAGTATCATATTTAGGATACATAATAGATAAAAATGGAATACACCCAGATAAAAAGACAGTAATAGCAATATAAAAATATCCACCTCCAAAAGATAGACATGACATAAAATCATTTTTAAATATATTAAACTATTATACACGGTTCATACCAAACTTACATGGAATCATAGCCGAATTACATAATAAAATTAGTAAAAATGTTAAATGAAATTGGACTAAAAAAGATGATACATTATTTGAAAGAGCAAAAGGAATAGTAACAGAACAAAATACTATACAGTTTTATAAACAGGACCTCGAGTTAATATTAGAAGCTTGGACTGTGCCGATCCACATATTTTTCACCGATCCGATATTTTTCGATATTGGTTCAAACTTGATCCGATATTTATATTGATTTTTCACCACCCCCCTTTGAACCAAATGTAATTAAGAAATCAATATTTTTATGCAAAAAATCGAATTATGCATTTCATTTAATTTTTTTATTTATACAATAATTAAAAAAAGTTTACAAATATTGGTAGTATTAAATAAATTTTTTTAATATTCCTCCCCATGAAATTAGAATTCCACAGATAACGCATTTTACAAAATTATCTTTGTCTTTTGTAATTTCCATAATTCAGATATCATATTTAAATTTTTTTTTTATTAAAGTATAAATAATAAAATTGGCGTTATTTAAAAAGATTTAAAATAAACAAAGCTTTGGGTGTTCCTTTCTATTTTCATAAAAAAAACTTTTAAAATATTATAAATCTATAATCTATTTTAAAAAAATAAACAAAATTTAAGGGGTGTTGTGCATTTGCATTGTTTAAAAAAAATTATTTAGAAATATTAATGTAAAATAAATATACACAAAATAATAAAAAAAAGTAAAAAGATATAAGCCTCTAATAAAGATATATGGCAACAATAACAAAGATTAGTTTATTAACAAATCAAAGATTATTACATTGGGCCTATAAATTATCCACACATGATTATAAAAAGGCCCTAATAATATATTTCAGATGCTTTATCAGAAATAATAATTGAAAAAAATGATGATAGAATAACAAGCTAAAATAAAACAGTGAATTATATAAGATATCTTACTTATGTTATGACACATTAACTCTATCTAGAAAAGAACTTAGAGAAGAAACCTAAAAAGATCCAATCTTAAGAAGAGTAAAAATATTAGTAAATGATACAAATATATAAAATCAAGCACCAGAATTACAAGCTTATAGAACGAATAGATGAAATACAAAATGACGATGGTATTTTGTTTTGGAATGGCAAATTAATCATTCCGTAATCACTTCAAAATGAGTTTTACATATATTGCATGCTGGACATCCGGGTATTACATCAATGAAATCCACTACAAGACATTATATATTATGGGAACAATTAGATAAAGATGTTGAAAAACTAGTTATGTATAGGATGTCAAAAACAATTCAGAGATATACCAGGTGTTGCTGCATACCCATGAAATCTGCCATCGCAACCCTGGGAAGAAAGGAAAGCTAAATTCTCTTATAATATAGAAGAAAACAAAAAAATTGTAAGAAAACAAAACACCCTGACAAACTACGAACAAAGGAAGAACTAGTTGAACCCAAATCAATAATAATAGATGACAATATAAAGTTAGGAGAAGATAAAATAGTAGAAACAATTAAACCAAGTCTAGAAGGAATTCTAAACCGATATCCAATGAGATAATGAAAGCAAACAAAAAGATTAATAGAGAACTTGGTGGGAAATAAGATATGTTATATTTTATATATTTTAAAAGATTATAATATTCAACATCATTTGAATAATATATTTGAATTTGAATACTTATAGAAGTAAAATTGAATAATTATAGAATAGTATAAATATACAAGAATTGAAAATAAAAAACTATTGACCATATATTTTATTAAGTTTCTTAAAGATATAACCCCCCCCCCCCAATTCCTTTAATTGAAGTTCTTTGGCAATTATAAATTGATAATATCCAACATTTAATATATAATTAAAAAACTATTACTGGGTAATAATCTAATAATTTGTTTCATATCTTCTTCAAATCCAATTTCAAGAATCCTATCAGCCTCATCAATTATTAAACATTGAAGATTTTTTACCATAAATTCAGATGTGCTCTATATAAGATTTAATTATAAATTTATCAACATTAAATATGGACATAATCATTTATTATAATAAAACCCCCATGAGAAGAAAAGTAATCAATATATATATATTACTAATATGTTACTTGCAAATGATCTAAAAGGCGTCCAGGTGTAGCTACCAAAAAATTAATGCCCTTAGCCAGTTTTTTCTTTTCCTCCTGTCTATTAGCTCCACCCATAACAAGACCATATGTATGACTATGATATTTAAGCAATTCTCTCAATACTCCAAATGTTTGCATTGAAAGTTCTCTAGTTGGCGATATAATAATACATCCAGTCCCATTTCTTGGCATAAACTTTAATTTATTAATGAGTTCAATAGCAGGAATTAAAAATGCCAAAGTTTTACCACTACCAGTTTTTGCAGATGCAACCATATCCCTTATTTTATTTCATTATAAAATAAAATGTTTTTTTTAAATATACCTCCCTTTTAATAAGTGTGGAATTGATTTATGTTGTATTTCAGTCATTGTTGTGAATCCCATATCGCCAATGGCTTTCAGGGTATTTTCAGAAACATCGCCTTTAAAATTCTCAAATATTTTGTCAGACATGATTATATATTCAACATGACATTAAATAGATGGCGGTAATATTTTAAATATCGAATAATTGTTTGAAGAATTACAATAATAAATGGATAATTCCTAAATAATAAAATATTTATTAGGTTTACAACATGTTATAATTTTTCATGATGAGATGTTGGCATCGATAAAATTGATAATCATTTCAATATGGATGAACATAAGGTTGATGGTTCAGAGGCTAGAGCCCCTTGAGATTTGAAGAGCTCCCTCAAAATTTTGATATACCAAACCATTAAGTAAGGTTTTATTCAACTCATTAAGTAGGGCTTCATTTTATTGTCTTCTTTTGTTGGTAGATGGTTGAGAGTGGAAAAGATTTCTGTATAAAACATATAATTGTCAAAATGCATTAAGTCAAAATAGAGAGTATAGATTAAGTTAGTACCTTATTTATTAATTTTTTAATAAATCTTGACAGCCACAAAAAAATAACCAAATTACAAACCAATTACAAGATAGATATCACACCTTAATCGTTAAGTCACCCAAAGATATGGAAACATTATCTTTAATATTTATGTAAATAATTAGTGCGTATTATATACCTTTTAGTTCTTTATTCGTTTGGTAGATAGCTTAAAGAAAAACGTTATGGTAAAATAAAAATAAATTGTCAATGTAGTTATACCAACTACTAATTTATAAACAATACGACTACTAATTTATATTTCAATTTATTTTTAACATCAAATTTATATTATTAATTAATTTTCGAATATTCTATTCTATTTTTTTATATAATATCTATAAATAATATTTTACTAATTTATTACAGTCAAGATTTTTAAAAAAAGTACCTTTACTCAGTTTCTTTTAATCAATAAATAAAAACCAGTTATAAGCAAAATAAATACTACAGCACGCATTAGGCTGAGTCTTAAACATCGAATTTTAAATCACTATTAACAAATTAATTATACGTCTAGATACATTAAAATTTTTCTTCTGTTCAAAATATTTTTGATTATGATTATATGATCTTTATCGATATTGCTTGTTCTTTTTAGTTTATTTAATATATATTTAACAACATAACATATATTATTAAATTTATATATCTTTTCTAACAATATAAATTATATTATGAAACTTATAATCAATTGTTTTTTTTTAAAAAATTAAAAAATCTGGCCCCCCCCCCTCCCCCTTCCTCATTATATTTACTCATTCATAAAAATAAAATAATCTAAAAGCCAGGACAAAGGGTAATGTTCAGTTCAGATAAAATATTCTGTCCGTGTTCAGGTTAAGTTCGTAAAAATAATAATATTGATTCGATTTGAATTAAATCTTTAAAAACCGGTTCAAACTTTTTCGCATACGAAAGCATTAGATGTTAAATAAATTATTTTAAAAATTACATCAAAAAATAATATTGAGCCATTTATAATTAAAATATTTTAAAGATTTTCCACTGTCAAATTGTGTCTATAAGGAGGAAGAATAAATTTTATGACAGAACACTTCTATGTCAACTTGTGATTTTTCAAATCATGGCATTCTAGTGCCATCTATATTAATCAATTTGTTCTGGGATTCATTGGTACTTTTGGAAAATTCAACCTTAAAAAAATAATATTATGTACGATTTATTCAACTTATCATATGCCACAACATTCTTTTACCCTGAAGTTCTGCTTAATCCATATTGGCGAGCTTTGCTAAGGGTTCCATGTCAATTCAGCGAAACTTTTATCGCGAAACACTTTTTCGCGAAACTTTTATCGCGAATGTCGTTTATCGCGAATGTCGTTTATCGCGAATGTCGTTTATCGCGAATGGATTTTATAGCGAAACTTTTATCGCGAATCCATAATAGCGAATACTATTCCGCGAATGCAATATCGCGAAACAAATATCGCGAATTTTTTATAGCGAAACCTTTATCGCGAAACCTTTATAGCGAATACATTACCGCGAATACAATATAGCGAAACAAATATCGCGAATTTTTTATAGCGAAACTTTTATCGCGAAACCTTTAATGCGAATACATTACCGCGAAACTTTTATCGCGAATCAATAATCGCGAAAATTTTATAGCGAAACTTTTATCGCGAAACATTTTAAGCGAATACATTACCGCGAAACTTTTATCGCGAATCAATAATCGCGAAAATTTTATAGCGAAACCTTTATCGCGAAACCTTTAAAGCGAATACATTACCGCGAAACTTTAATCGCGAAAATTTTATAGCGAAATTATTTCGCGAAACATATATCGCGAAGATATTATAGAGAATTTAATATCGCGGTAATTGCTAATAATGACTAATTTATTTTGAATTATTTTTTTATAATTATATTATTTGAATAATATTTTTTTAATTCACATAGTTTGTAATTTTCTTATAACCTTAAAAAATTTTTACAATGATTAATTAACTTAGACTGGTTTATGAAATTTGTTATTGAAATACACTTTTTTCGCTATCCTATCCTTTCCTTCGAAGTTCTTATTTTATAATAATCGCGCACAAGGAACTCAGCTTTATCAATATATTAATCATTGAGTTTATTAGTTAAATCTTGATATTTATTGGCGAAATTGATATCTGGGTAGCATTCCTATTTATTGTCTGATGACTCAATATTTATAAATTTATCAATCAATTTTGGCCAGGGTTAGCAAGTCAGTCAAATGACCAGTCAAATGACTAGATTTTGACGGGTCAATTGAACGGGAGAATATTTGACCTGGTCAAGTGGTCATATATTCTATAAGATCTGAATATAAAAATATGTTTGAAAAAGAAAAAACGATATAAATACATGTGAAATGTGATCACAATGCTTATTGAGTTCCTAATATTAAGGAGAGCATTTTAATCATAGTGAATTTAATGAAGTATGTAATATAATAAAAGAATTAGGCATACAAGGTGGTGATCAAAATATTTCAAGCTATATCATAAATTTCAGAAATAAAAGCGGCTTGTTTAATAGAAAATCATGGGGATAGCAGTAACTTCCATAAGAAACAATCAGATTTCAAACTCAAGCAGTGGAATTAGCTTTGACCACCATGGCCATTAAGAGAAGTGACATTACTAACAATTTCTTGATCTACTTCTTCTTCAGAAAGAAATTGGTCTATTTGTGTCAATAATCTTACTAAAACAGAAATCGATTGAAGATTTAGACAAAAAGAAAATTGATTAAAAAATATTAAAGAAAATGATGATATTCAATATAAAATAATATTTATTTGATTTTAACTATATTTGATCGGTCAAATGCACAACCGTGGTTTTGGCAGTCACTATTCTTAAACAGTGTAGATGAATAAAGTCTACAACATTACTGTTTAGAATATCAATTTTGAATGGCAATTCAAAAATAAATTACATCTAAGTGAAATAAGGGATTTCCCCAATTTAAAATATTTATTAATTTTATTATTTTCAATCTTTATAGATATCTTTTTATCTTTTCTGTTTATTTGAAGGGGGGGGGAGGGGGCGTGATAAAATTTTTAGTTTAATAACTCGGCATTAATTTAAATATAATATTTTGATATGGGTTCTTATTGAATCTTAAATAATTTTAAAATATAATAAAAAAAATAGCTACACTAAAAATTAACAAATAATTAATGACATATTTGATAAATTATAACTATTTTAAAAAAAAGTATTGCCGAAATTTAAAAAAAAAAATTTTCCCGTCTGGCTGGTGCCATTCCTTTGGTTATAAATTATAAATATTTTCGCCATTCTTTCCTCTTTATTTCGGAGTCTTATAAAATATGTTATCAAGCAAAAATAAGGAGATCTTAACCTTTAAAAATTATTTGTTCCGCCTGGATAAAGTAGTCTCAGATACTAATTATTATAGATGTATCAATCAGGATATTTTTAAATGTCCCGTACGACTCACAAAAAAAAATGGTAAGATAAAAGATAATAATGAAATACACAATCATCCAGAAAATCCAATCGAAATGGAAACCAAGAAAATAATCAATTCAATTAAAAATGAAGCTTTGAATAATACTATGGAAACTCCAAACTTTATTGTGGCGAAACACGTATCTCAATTAAGTGATTCTATATCAATGGCACTACCATCACCGAATCTTATGAAACGTATAATTCACCGAACGCGGAGTTCAAACAGTTTTGCACCTCCGAATCCTAGCAGCCTTATTGAGCTGGTAATTCCGCATGAATATTCAATTACGGATAAATATGAGGATTTCATACTTCATGATGATGGTCCGGTAAGATTTTCTATAAATTTTTTGAACAAATATAACTAAATCCTTCATTTTTGTTGCAATAAGCTGCCCGATAAGAAACACTTTATTATAATTGCTTATTTATTTATCATGTGTGTCAGGTTCCCGACCGTGTTATCATATTTGGAACAAGAAAAAATTTGGACTTCTTAGCTTCATGCGAACATTGGTTTTCTGATGGTACATTTAAATCGTCGCCACCTTTATTTATGCAAATTTATACAATTCATGGGATTAGAAATAATAATGTTTTACCTCTCATATATATATTGACCAATAGAAAGGATTATGAAACTTATAAAAGAATATTTACTATTATAGGTGACAACCTAATATCAACTCCAAAAAAAATTATGACGGATTTTGAAATGGCCAGTGTAAAAGCTTTCAATGAAGTGTTTCCCAATTCGCAACACAAATGTTTCTATTTCCATTTTGGCCAATCCTTTTGGTGAAACATTCAAAAATATCCAGAAATATCGCATAAATATAAAACAGATGTAGAATTTAATATACAACTTAGAATGATGGTTTGTTTGGCGTTTGTGCCACCCTTAAATGTAGTTGAAACATTTGAATTACTAATAAACTCCGAATTTTATTCTAATAATCAATTGTTACTTCAGCCTCTAATTGAAACTTTTGAAAAAGCTTATATTGGTAAAACGTTTGGAAGAGGCAGACTACCTGCTTTGTTTAATATTGAACTCTGGAATTGTTACCAATCAACACTGAACGGGGAAGCGAAAAC